CGTGAGCGTTGACCTTGCGACCGCATACGAACAAGTTACCCCACCACACACGGCTTAGATATGTTTGCCGGAAGCACACTTAAGCGTTTGAATTAAGAACGTCTTATTTGCCTAGTACAACGCGTCTTATATATACATCGAAGAACCTTACGAGTCGTAAATTTTCGCTCCTGAGAAAATGCCAGCATGCTGTCTCTTGTTCGTCAGGCAGGGTTGTTAGTATTATTGCGAACCCCGCATTGCCTAAGGCAACCATTGGATATCTTGCGGAGTAGATACGAAGGTGTATAGAACCACGAGAGCTACTCCAAACATATCCGTTCGGGGACTGAAAAAGTTTTGTCAGTTTTTAGGATATTTGCGCCAAACCGATCGACAGGGGAAGGAGTTCAGTTTCAGAACCAAGCCCCTAAGGCGTGTAGGTTTGTTATTTTTGTCCACAGACAGGCAAGACTTGAATGGCCAATGCGGCGTTGCCTATTGTGCAATATAGTTGGCCAACAAATGTAGCTCCATTTTGGCACATCAAGTCGAGTAAATAACAACCTTCCTGGCTGGTGAAGGGTCAGCTCAGTTGCGGGGGTCCAAAATGAACGCATAGCAAAGGCTGAGTTTTTGTGGGTGAAGAAAAGGAAACTGATATGCACCCGTACCCAGGAATGGAAATATGAAAAAAACGGTATTTGTGCAATTAACTTTTCTAAATACAAAATAAAGCGTAAAAATGTAAGCACGCAATAATTAGTACTAGACATAGGGAGGCGTAAATGGACAGAAAATATGAAAAATCGAAACGTCTTAGTCCAATATTGGAGTCAAACTGATTTTAGCCCACAATGACCAATCAAATTAAGAAAAGTAAGCAGACCGGATCCTGAAATACGGCTCTTGTGATAGCCATCACTGAAGATATAATTCAGGTTAACAACATCGACAGCCTAACAGCTTTAAATCCCTAAGCCTAATCCTATCCCTAAGGTCTAATCTCGACACATAACAAAAACCCTTAAACCTAGCGCTAATCCTAACCTCTAACTCTAAGAAGAACGCCAATCCTACTGATAACACTTAAGGGAGGGGGGAAGGGCTGACAGGGATGGGCGAAAGGAAGTGGACTAACTTGCGCCTACTTAAATAACATAAATAGATATTCCTTAAAAGTAAAGACTAAGTGGGGTCACACATCCGACCGTTACCCTTCTCTCGAACGAAAACTGGGGACTGTCTAGCTTTTAGTCTAACGAGTTTTGCTTCAGTGGCGAACTATTGTCAAGCTAGAGAGGATTCTAACTTGCGTGTGATAAATGTGCTGCTTCGAAGTACAGTGGGTGTACTATCTCATGAAATCCAACGATTTTTACAAGTAACTCCCTC